ATGTGGTAGAGGCAAGAGGAGGGGATAGAAGGATGATTTATCTAAACTGGTAATGAAGAAATAGAAAAATGAACATGACACCAAGTGTTACCCAAAGGTAAATTTGCTGAATAGGATAAATTTTTCTATAAAAAACAAAAAACTCAGTCTTACTGGATATTTACAAATCAGACATGGAATAATATTTTAAAAATCTATATTGAAATAATTTAATCATATGACAATAATAAAAGTACAGTGGGCCCTCGGCTAACGATATTAATCCGTTCCTGAGAGCTCATCGCTAGACGAAATTATCGTTAGCCGAATTAATTTTCCCCATAAGAAATAATGGAAATCCAGTTAATTCGTTCTAGACAGCCAAAAGAATTAAAAAGAATTTTTTTTTTCATGAAATATACATTTCCCTACAAAGAAAACAATGAGACACGCACAATAACTATACAGTGGACCCCTGCCATTCGGTGGTCGTGACTTTTGTGAAATCCGACTTTCGGCAAGTTTTTTCAGCAAAATTTAGCTTCGTGGTTCGTGATTGGACTCGTGATTCGGCGACCTTCTGGTACGCGTCTGCCCATCAGCGCACACACAAAGCCAGTCTCCCTCACTATTCACACTCAGTGTGCCATTGTTTACCAGCATGTGACCATCACCCCACGGGTTCATACAACACATTTCATAATAATTCTTTGTTTTTTTGTGCTTGCAACTGCTAAATAAGCCACCATGGCCCCAAAGAAAGCTCCTAGTGCCAGCCCTTTGGTAAAGAAGGTGAGAAACACGATAGAATTAAAAAAAAAACTCATAGCAAATTACTAAAGTAGAGGAGAAAGAGAGAGGGGAGAATGTGCCTTCTGCAGTGATTCAGTGATTCTACAATATGTATGATACTAAAGTAGCAGGTATCGATAAAGGCTATAGCTCCAGCCAGCGATAAAGTGTAGAATTAACAGTGTAGCAAGTAAGTTAAACGAGTAAGCGATAGAAAAACAACACGAGAGTAACTCTCCAATGTTGTTGGATGTGTATAGGACCGCTGAACATACACCGCCCTGCTATCTTCCACCACCCTAAACCTCTGCCAACATCTCCTTCATCAAACTAACTAATTAAACTAACATCTCCTCCAAGGTAAGTGTAAATATAAAAGTGTAAGTATAAAAGTAAATACAGTGGACCCCCGCTTTACGATCAGCTCCCAATGCGACCAATTATGTAAGTGTATTTATGCAAGTGCGTTTGTACGTGTATGTTTGGGGGTCTGAAATGGACTAATCTAATTCACAATATTCCTTATGGGAACAAATTCATTCAGTAATGGCACCTGAACATACTTCTGGAATGAAATAATATCGTAAGCCGGGGGTCCACTGTATAAGTGTAAATATAAAAGGACACCAATGGAAATATGTCACTCTTGAATTTTTTGGGTTATCCTGGGTACTTTACACATATGCTGCTATGATAATCCATGTAACTGTACATGTATTTGTGTATACCTGAATAAGCTTATTTATTTATAAATTAAAATGTAGACATTTCTTATTTATAAATTAAAATGTAGACATTTATTTATAAATTAAAATGTAAACATTTCTTATTCATAAATTACATACATTGTTTAACCCTTTGACTGTTGCAGTCGTATATATACGTCTTACGAGGTACCGTGTTTGACGTACATATACTCAAATTCTAGCGGTTTCAAATCAAGCAGGAGAAAGCTGGTAGGCCCACATGTGAGAAAATGGGTCTGTGTGATCAGTGTGCACCATATAAAAAAAATCCTGCAGCACGCAGTGCATAATGAGAAAAAAAAACACAGACCGTTTTTTTTAATTAAAATGTTGACTTTGTGGTCTATTTTCATATAGTATTTATGGTTGTATTCTCATTTTCTTGGTCTCATTTGATAGAATGAGAAACATATTATAGAAATAGAGGTGATTTTGATTGATTTTACTAAAAAAAAAAAAACCTGGAAATGGAGCTCAAAGTAGGGGAAATGTTCGATTTTTGCAAATGTTCAAATGATGTCATTGTCCAATAAATGTCCAACTAGCCATTCTAATATGCAGTCATGAATGGGTTGATGTTATTTATACAATTATTAGTATTGCAGTAGTCTGCATAACAGTAAATCTTCTATTTTTTGTTTGAATAAAAATTCAAAATAGAAAGCAAGAGTAATATCAGAGGGGCCTGGAGACATGACTGATGAACAAATAAAATGTTATTTTAGAGCCAGGAATGTCTGCATTGTTCATTCTAGACCTTATTTTGAAATTGTCATATTTTTTTAATTTTCGTGAAATTGGCCAAATTGCAAATTTCTGACCACGTTATTGGGTAGTTGAAATTGGTAAATGGGCAGTTTCTTGTACTCAATCAATAGAAAAAATGGAGTTCTAAAGAAATAGCTATGAGTTTGGTCGACTGGAACAATGGAATTAGCCAAAAATAGGGCTCAAAGTGGGCGAAATCGCCGATTTGTAAATATCGCCGAGGTCGCTAACTTCGCAAGAGCGTAATTCTGTCAGTTTTCCATCAAATTTCGTTTTTTTTGGTGTAATTACAATCTGGAAAAGATTCTCTATCATTTCATAAGAAAAAGTAATTTTTTTTTTTAAATTTTGCGACACCAGGAGACACCTCAGGATTGGGGGTTGCAACAGTCAAAGGGTTAAGTGTGATGGTTAATAAATAATAAATGGTGGTGGTGGCCAAAGCCTCCTCCGCCACCAACACTGCTTCTCTCAGTGGCGGCCCTTAAACCCAACAACAATGCTTACACCATGTACTCCTCTCATACATTATGACATTTTATCCATTCTAGAGTATATATCATGTTTCTATGTTATTAATATTATTTATAATGTCATATTAGATGAATTGTGATAGATAAATAAGCCGTAGAGATGATATTAGCGTCATATTGAAGCATAATAAACTTGCCTTCCTCTTGCCTCCTACCTACCTCCTACACCAACAAGAATCAATAAAAGTTAAGTATGATGTTAAATGTTCATTTACCCAGTTTATTAGTGCTTTATATTTATTTTTTATTGTTTTCTGTATGTAAATCTATATTTAATCTTTAAAAAATTATTTTTTTTAATACTTTTGGCTGTCTGAAATGGATTAATTAGGTTTCCATTATTTCTTATGGGGAAAAATAGATTCACCAATCGTGAATTTCGCCAGTCAGCAGACTCTCTGGAACGGATTAATCACAAAACTCGGGGGTCCACTGTATAAATAAATGTTAAAATGACACTTACCTTTATTGAAGAGCACTGATGAGTGATGACACACTGTTTTTCTTGAACACTCTGGGATTTTCAGAGTGATACATGAATAATGGCTTCACTTTGCAATCCCCACTAGCATTACAACAAAACAAGAAAGTTAGCCTGTCTTTCATAAGCTTGTGTCCTGGGAGTGCCTTTTCCTCCTGAGTAATGTAGGTCCTGTTTGGCATTTTCTTCCAGAACAGGCCTGTTAATCACAACTGAACACTTGTTGGGGTGGGAATTTTTCACCTTCGACTTGCCTTATCACACTGTGTATGCCACTACGATTCTTAAATCTCTCAAACCAACCTTTGCTGGCCTTAAATTCACCAATATGAGCACTAGTTCCAGGCACTGTTTCCTGTTCACCTGGGTGTTAGTCAACTGGTGTGGGTCACATCCTGGAGGACAAGATTAAGGACCCCAGTGGAAATAAGTTAGACAGTCTTCGATGACTCACTGACTTTCTTGGGTTATCCTGGGTGGCTAACCCTCTGGGGTTGTTTCTCGGTAATTGTTTCTCGTTAAGCCACACCACCAACAGTCTCTCCACATCTTCGAGTAGTACAGCTGACGGTGGTGCAGCAACAGCTGACCGTGGTACAATAGTACAGTGGACCCCCGCCTTATGATATTAATCCATGCCTGAGAACTCATCGTAAGCCGAAATTATCGTAAGGCGAATTAATTTTCCCCATAAAAAATAATGGAAATCAAATTAATCCGTTCCTGACACCCTAAAGTATGAAAATTTTCTTTTTACCACAGGGCTACTGCAAGCCCTGACACGGCTTGAAGTAGCTGTGTCAGGGTGATTTTCATCCATAAAGGTTTGCAGTTCAACCCACTTTGCACACATTTCCTTAATCACTTTTTTCAATTCCATACTAATTCTCGCCCTTTTTACCACAGGGATGGTACTAGAAGCTTACTTGGAGTCCATGGTGACTTATTTTGCAGTTACAAGCACTAAAAACACTGGGATAATGTGAAATGTACCGAATGTATGCATAGATGTGACCGCACTAGCTGGCTTGTAAACACTGGCGCTGAGGCCACACGTGGGACGCGTCCCAAATGAATCACATAAGGCGAGTTTTTTATCGTGAGGCAAGGCAAAATTTTTGCATTCAAATGCTTCGTATGGCAGATTTAACGTAAGGCGATGCGTTCATAAGGCGGGGGTCCACTGTATGTATTTCAATAGTATTTCTCACTCTTTTTACCACAGGACTGGCACTAGAAGCTTTCTTTGGGCTCAAGGTGGCTTATTTAGCAGTTACAAGCACTATAAACAATGGAATAATACAAAATGTATCTAATGTATGCATGAAACCGGGCACCCTGGCTTGTAAACAATGACGGCAGGGCAGCTGAGGCGCTCAGGCTCGACGAACAGGTTCAGGACAAATCACGTTGGGCGAGTTTTTTATTGTTAGCCGGGCCAAAATTTTTACCCTCAAACACTTCATTGGGTGGTTATGCGATGCTTTCGTTAGCCGAGGGTCCACTATTTGACTTAAACAGGTGACGAATTCTCAAGAAACTTTAAAAAATACTTTAAACAATATATGAAGTTTCAAAGATATGGATTAAGCTGTTATGTAGTAAATAAAGCCTTTTATGTAAAGTTATTTGATAAAGTGACTTTATAAAACTATCACTTAGAAAAATGTTTTTTCTACATGCATGACATCCTGTACAAACCTCTGCTAATGAAGATACAGTGATATCAGTTGAAGACTGACAAATGATTGATGGAGTCTCGGGGAAAGCAAAGTTTCTGTTGTCTTCATATGACACTTGAGTTTCTACATCCTCCATGGCTGCAGGTGTTCTATCTGTCATATGTGCCTGGGTGCTCTGGTCAAGCAACCTTGGAATACTTCTCTCTGCCATAGCTTGAGATGATGATGATAATGAACCAACAGAGTCAGGTTTTGGTGGCTTGTAAGGGGTTGGTGATGATGCTGAAGATGTAGGTGTAGGAATATGATGGGCTTCCATTTCTTCATCTAATGCCTGCTGTGGTGTAGGAGACTCTGTTGGAGTGTTGGGCTGTTGTACCACATTTCCCAGATGGAAAGGAGAAACTCTGGGAGTACATTCAGGAGTGACATTTTTCCTCACTTTGCCTGGAGAAGATCCAGGAGTTACAGAGGGAGTCACTTGATATTTTATATCTAACATTGGCACTTTGAATGTAGGTGATGGAGGAGGAGTTGCAACATCTTCACTAGCCTTTTCCTCTTCATGGGAAAGCTGAGGAGTTAACAGTCTCCTTGGAGATGCCTCCTCTTTTGGTGGTGAGGGAGATGGAGAAGGTGTTCTTATCTGAGTGAAGAAAATTATGAATTTATATTAATGAGATATACATAATTTTGTTTACTTATATATGTACTGTGACTCATTGTCTTTGTATGGTGTCCCTGATTTAATTAAAGTCAAGGACAATAAACCGAAACTTTAATTAGTCTGGACTGGCATGCATAATTCCTATGTATAAAGGCAAAGGGGGACAAAAGAGAATGCAAAAATTATAGGGAAATAAGCAGTAGGTTGGCAGACAGCAACCACCCAGGGAGGTACTACCGTCCTGCCAAGTGAGTGTAAAACGAAAGCCTGTAATTGTTTTACATGATGGTAGGATTGCTGGTGTCTTCTGTCTGTCTCATAAATATGCAAGATTACAATTACGTCTTGCTACTTCTACTTACAATTAGGTCATACTATACATACATGCACACATTTATTTATACACACTCATCTGAGCTTTCTTTGATTTTATCTTGATAGAGATTTTGGGAAATGTTGAGTGAATGCATGGAGAGTTTTGAACAAAGTGTGAGGGTAAAGGTGGTTGGGGATATCAATGCTAAAGTGGGCAAAAATGTTGTGGAGGGAGAAGTAGGTAAATTTGGGGTGCCAGGGATAAATGAAAATGGGGAGCCTTTAATTGAGCTATGTGTAGAAAGAGGTTTGGTAATAAGTACTACATATTTTATGAAGAGGATAAATAAATATACAAGGTATAATATAGCACGTAATGAAAGTAGTTTGTTAGATTATGTATTGGTGGATAAAAGGTTGATGGGTAGGCTCCAGGATGTACACGTTTATAGAGGGGCAACTGATATATCGGATCATTATTTAGTTGTAGCTACAGTTAGAGTAAGAGGTAGATGGGAAAAGAGGAAAATGGCAACAACAAGCAAAAGGGAGGTGAAAGTGTATAAACTAAGGGAGGAGGAAGTTTGGGCGAGATTTAAGAAACTATTGGCAGAAAGGTGGGCTGGTGCAAGTATGAGTAGTGGGGGGTTGAAGAGGGTTGGAATAGTTTAAAAAATGCAGTATTAGAATGTGGGGAAGAAGTTTGTGGTTATAGGAGAGTGGGTGCAAGAGGAAAGAGTGATTGGTGGAATGATGAAGTAAAGGGTGTGATAAAAGAGAAAAAGTTAGCTTTTGAGAGGTCTTTACAAAGCAGAAGTGTTATAAGAAGAGTCGAGTATATGGAGAGCAAAAGAGAAAGGTGAAGAGAGTTGTGAGAGACTGCAAAAGGAGAGAAGATGATAGAGTGGGAGAGGCACTGTCAAGAAATTTTAATGAAAATAAGAAAAAATTTTGGAGTGAGTTAAACAAGTTAAAAAAGCCTAGAGAACGAATGAATTTGTCAGTTAAAAACTGAGTATGGGAGTTAGTTGATGGGAAGATGGAGGTTTTGGGAAGATGGTGAGAATGTTTTGAAGAACTTTTAAATGTTGACGAAGAAAGGGAAGTGGTAATTTCATGCACTGGCCAGGGAGGTATACCATCTTTTAGGAGTGAAGAAGAACAGGATGCGAGTGTGGGGGAGGTGCGCGAGGCATTACGTAGAATGAAAGGGGGTAAAGCAGCTGGAACTGATGGGATCATGACAGAAATGTTAAAAGCAAGGGGAGATATAGTGTTGGAGTGGTTGGTATTTTTGTTTAATAAATGTATGAAAGAGGGGAAGGTACCTAGGGATTGGCAGAGTGCATGTATAGTCCCTTTGTATAAAGGGAAGGGGGACAAAAGAGATTGTAAAAATTATAGAGGAATAAGTTTACTGAGTATACCAGGAAAAGTGTACGGTAGGGTAATAATTGATAGAATTAGAGGTAAGACAGAATGTAGGATTGCGGATGAGCAAGGAGGTTTCAGAGTGGGTAGGGGATGTGTAGATCAAGTGTTTACATTGAGGCATACATGTGAACAGTATTTAGATAAAGGTAGGGAAGTTTTTATTGCATTTATGGATTTAGAAAAAGCATATGATAGAGTGGATAGGGGAGCAATGTGGCAGATGTTGCAAGTATATGGAATAGGTGGTAAGTTACTAAAGGCTGTAAAGAGTTTTTATGAGGATAGTGAGGCTCAGGTTAGGGTGTGTAGAAGAGAAGGAGACTACTTCCCAGCAAAGGTAGGTCTTAGACAGGGATGTGTAATGTCACCAAGGTTGTTTAATATATTTATAGATGAGGTTGTAAAAGTAGTAAATGCTAGGGTGTTCGGGAGAGGGGTGGGATTAAATTATGGGGCATCAAATACAAAATGGGATTGACACAGTTGCTTTTTGCTAATGATACTGTGCTCATGGGAGATTCTAAAGAAAAATTGCAAAGGTTAGTGGATGAGTTTGGGAGTGTGTGTAAAGGTAGAAACTTGAAAGTGAACATAGAAAAGAGTAAGGTGATGAGGGTATCAAATGATTTAGATACAGAAAAATTGGATATCAAATTGGGGAGGAGGAGTATGGAAGAAGTAAATGTTTTCAGATACTTGGGAGTTGACGTGTCGGCGGATGGATTTATGAAGGATGAGGTTAATCATAGAATTAATGAAGGAAAAAAGGTGAGTGGTGTGTTGAGGTATAGGTGGAGATAAAAAACGTTATCTATGGAGGCAAAGAAGGGAATGTATGAAAGTATAGTAGTACCAACACCCTTATATGGGTGTGAAGCTTGGGTTGTGAATGCAGCAGCAAGGAGGCGGTTGGAGGCAGTGGAGATGTCCTGTCTAAGGGCAATGTGTGATGTAAATATTATGCAGAAAATTCGGAGTGTGGAAATTAAGAGAAGGTGTGGAGTTAATAAAAGTATTAGTCAGCGGGCTGAAGAGGAGTTGTTGAGGTGGTTTGGTCATTTAGAGAATGGATCAAAGAAAAAATGACATGGAGAGTGTATAAATCTGTAGGGGAAGGAGGGCGGGGTAGGGGTCGTCCTCGAAAATGTTGGAGGGAGGGGGTAAAGGAGGTTTTGTGGGCGAGGGGCTTGGACTTCCAGCAAGCATGCGTGAGCGTGTTCAATAGGAGTGAATGGAGACGAATGGTATTTGGGACCTGACGATCTGTTGAAGTGTGAGCAGGGTAATATTTAGTGAACAGATTCAGGAAAACCGGTTATTTTTATATAGCCAGACTTGAGTCCTGGAAATGGGAAGTACAATGCCCGCACTCTGACGGAGGGGTTTGGGATATTAGCAGTTTGGAGGGATATGTTGTGTATCTTTATAGGTATATGCTTCTAAGCTGTTGTGTTCTGAGCACCTCTGCAAAAACAGTGATTATGTGTGAGTGAGGTGAAAGTGTTCAATGATGATGAAAGTATTTTCTTTTTGGGGATTTTTTCTTTTTTGGGTCACCCTGCCTCAGTGGGAGACGGCCGACTTGCTAAAAAAAAAAAATCCCCGGGAAAGTGGAATAAGAATCTTTCCTCCGTAATCCATGCGTGTTATAAAAGTCAACTAAAATGTTGGGAACAATGGGCTAGTAACCCCTTTTCCTGTAATGATTACTAAAAAGAATAAGAAAATTGTCAAAGTGGGATGTCTGAATGTGCATGGATGTTGTGTAAATGGTAAGAAAGAGATGATTGTGGATGTTATGAATGAGAAGCTGGATGTCTTGGCTTTAAGTGAAACAAAGTTGAAGGGGATGGGAGAGTTTCAGTGGAGAGAAATAAATGAGATTACATCAGGGGTTTCAAATAGAGCTAAAGAAGGAGTAGCAGGAAATGAGGGAGTATAAATGTATTAATTCAAAGATTATGTGGAGTAAAATAAAGGTTGGATGTGAAAAGTGGGTTATAGTAAGCATAAATGCACCTGGAGAAGAGAGAAGTGTAGAGAAGAGAGATTTTGGGAAATGTTGAGTGAATGCGTGGGGAGTTTTGAACCAAGTGTGAGAGTAATTGCAGTTGGGGATTTCAATGCTAAAGTGGGTAAAAATGTTGTGGAGGAAGGAGTAGGTAAATTTGGGATGCCAGGGGTAAATGAAAGTGGAGAGCCTTTAATTGAGCTATGTGTAGAAAGAGGTTTGGTAATAATACATATTTTATGAAAAAGAGGATAAATAAATATACAAGGTATGATATAGCATGTAATGAGAGTAGTTTGTTAGATTAAGTATTGGTGGATAAAAGGTTGATGGGTAGGCTCCAGGATGTACATGTTTATAGAGGGGCAACTGATATATCGGATCATTATTTAGTTGTAGCTACAGTTAGAGTAAGAGGTAGATGGGACAAGAGGAAAATGGCAACAACAAATAAGAGGTGAAAGTGCATAAACTAAGGGAGGAGGAAGTTCGGGTGAGATATAAGCAACGATTGGCAGAAAGGCGGGCTAGTGCAAATATGAGCAGTGGGGGGGGGGGGGTTGAAGAAGGTTGGAATAGTTTTAAAAATGCAGTATTAGAATGTGGGGCAGAAGCTTGTGGTTATAGGAGGGTGGGTGCAGGAGGAAAGAGGAGTGAATGGTGGAATGATGAAGTAAAGGGTGTGATAAAAGAGAAAAAGTTAGCTTTTGAGAGGTTTTTACAAAGCAGAAGTGTTATAAGAAGAGCAGAGTATATGGAGAGTAAAAGAAAGGTGAAGAGAGTGGTGAGAGTGCAATAGTAGAGCAGAGGATAGAGTGGGAGAGGCACTGTCAAGAAATTTTAATGAAAATAAGAAAAAATTTGGAGTTAAACAGGTTAAGAAAGCCTAGAGAACGAATGGATTTGTCAGTTAAAAACAGAGTAGGGGAGTTAGAAGATGGGGAGATGGAGGTATTGGATAGATGACAGGAATATTTTGAGGAACTTTTAAATGTTGACGAAGAAAGGGAGACGGTAATTTCATGCATTGGCCAGGGAGGTATACTGTCTTTTAGGAGTGAAGAAGAGCAGGATGTGAGTGTGGGGGAGGTGAGTGAGGCATTACATAGAATGAAAGGGGGTAAAGCAGTTGGAACTGATGGGATCATGACAGAAATGTTAAAAGCAGGGGGGGATATAGTGTTAGAGTGGTTGGCATTTTTGTTTAACCCTTTCAGGG